AGAAAAACATCTTTAAAATGCAGTGATCATATGTATAATACGCATTATCAACTGAGTCTTTATTTGTGGTCTCGGCTATAAGTCACTGCAATAATAATTCATGCATGTTTAACGTTGACTGGTACCGTGTGAAGGGCCAGAGCCAAAGGCCCGGGCAATTGCGAAACGATCTTCTGACGTCCACTGCCATCGAGGTCTGCAGAAAATATTTCCCTCAACTCGCTGTCCACCCAGAAGATCTTCGAATGCAGGAAGTCGATCGCCAAACCATAAGGAAGCGAAAGGTCGCGACCGATTATCACTTCGCGGTGGCTGCCGTCCAGCCATGCCCTCTCAATCGCCGGTTCCGACACGAAGTTATCAAAGAACAGCAAGCTAAAACGAAATGCCGTAAAATCATTTTGTAATTTGCTCAGCAAAGCAGAAACAAAGTCAACATTTAATGCCGGTTTTTTGAAATGCCTGAGGATTAGAGGCACGGAAACGAAGGTTCAGCTGAGAAATTACCAACGAAGTATATCCAACCGTAAACAACAATGAAATAAAGAAATGTTGAGAACGGTTGGCGGTTGATCGATGAACACAATCAAAAGCCGTGGAGGCTAGTTGAACGGCAAGTACATAACAATTAAGCCATTAAAAACTAATGTTAGAACGTAAACGTCCGAGAATCGATGCTTTGCCAAGCCCGAGGCTTTAAACGACGAAAAACTATGTATCTTGCATCATTTTGTTTGCTACAGTCACCTCTCACTCATCACGAACGATGTTTTAGGAGCTGGTGCTCCCCCCTCCCCCTTAGACCAGATTTTTAGGCGTAATACAATGACAGTAATATATGGATATGGTCTTGACATTACATCTTAATTTACCCATTGTATATGGGAAGCCATACTGGACGGTTTTAGCTTAGTTGAAATTTGTAAATAATAGATAATAGGTAGTAGCCAGACACAGGCAATGGATCAAAATTACTAGTTCTAAAAATCGATGCGTAGAACCATACTTAAATAAGACACAAAAGGAGCGCAAATGTATTTCAGGGCAAACTGTCAAAGTGTCTTTTCCTCCCACAATTTCCAGAGAACTCAGTGCCATTGGTTTGCCTTGGTGTATATGGCCTTTCACCGTACAATTCCATGTATGGCACTATTTCTGAGGCAGCGTTTTTTCACACCCACTAAATCCATTATCACGCTCAAAGAATGAACCATGGAGAATCACTGTCATTATTCTCTGCCTCATCTTTTGCTTCTTCTGCACCATCATCGTTTCCATCATCATGATCAATGACACAACCATGATCAACTTTATCGTCCGCACCATCACCATGCTCACAATTTCCACAATCGTCCTCACCATCAAATTCACGTTTCCGTCACCACCACCAGCAGCAACAGCATCACCATCGCTACTATCCAGAGGATTAACAGCACAACAGCAGCATAATAATTATCATTATGATTATGGCCATCGCAATCATCATCTCTATCATTATTATCAACACTGTCAGGATTAGCATCCTCACTGTCGTCATCTTGTCTTACCATCGAAATAGCGCAATCAAACGCGCAAGGCAGAAACTGCAAGAGCGAACATATTTTTTGTTACCTCATATTATTTAGTACAAGGTACTTAAAACATAAAATGGTTGCAAACAGACTTGTATTTTGCGAGACCAAGTGCATCAAGGTTATCCATATAGTTAACGGATTTTGTATGGGATGGTGCCATATGGAGACACAGACCTATCCGCTAAGAAGTGACCTTCACCTCTCCCTGGACTACTGGGAGATGATTCCTGCACTATATGCAGCTTTAACACTGCCCATACCACCTTCTTATACACTAGAATGATAGACTCTATAGAAGGTGGTCCTATGCGGATAAAAAACACCTGAATAAAGAGCATATCGCTACCCGAACTTGCATTACTCGCCAAACCACCCCAGGGAGGTTCATGAGATGATAAAGTAACGAGTAAGGGGAAAACTTTACCTATCCTCGAACTTCCCTAACGCAACAGTAGAGTTCGTGTCGTTCTTCGAGAGCTCTACTCCCTTCTAACCCACTACCAGAGATACCCATCAACAAGTTCATTATCGTTCAGATGAGGCTATAAACCATGCATCAGCAAATTTATGCGCCAACTAGGAGAAACCGCTAAGTGTATAGAAGAGCAGATGCCAGATCAACTACGATTTTCTGCTTACCTATGAAGTGGGTCGACGACGAGTCCGTGCACGCCGTCCAAATTCGAGTAAATGATGACCTTCCGCAGGAATGGCTGACGGTGGTAGCTGAGTACCTCGATCCGATTGGTTTCTGTGTCATGCCAATACAACTTACGCGAAACCCACTCGACTGCAATGGAACCGGCAGAGGGATTTGCGGGCGATTCTAAAACGGTATGCTCCTATAAAAACAGCTAGCATTAGAAAAATAACAAAACAGAAAAACACATGTCCTAAACGAAAAAACCATTTTGCACATTTTTTGGATCTTACAAGGCACAGGCGCGCTGTTACCTGGCTTCTAGTAGCCTAAAAGACCACTTGTGCAAAGCGCGATTTCATGATATTTAGGCGCTTGCAGGGCATGGATGCAAAACCGCAGCACAGAGTAGGACTTAATAAATACCTGCTAGGACACCTACCAAAAAGGCACCATACCTAAGCATATATATATATATAAGATAACAGGTAACAGGTAAATTGCGTAAACAACTTTCTCCTGTCAATTCTCCGGATTGATACGGCA